TACTCCTGAAATCATTGTTGCACTATATGATAACTAACTTGGATTTAAATTTAAACATAAATAAATTATTTTTTAAAAAATAAAAAAATAAAGCTCTTAGTGAATGGATGAGTCAAGAAAACAAATTGTTTTTGTTTTTTTCCTCTAGGATTTTCTAACCCATAAAGGATTTCCTATTCTCTTCTCCCTCTAGTGGAAGGGGGAGGAATGACCTTGCAATGAGCTGCACTATAGTTATAAATATATTTAAAAAAGGTTCAAGAAGATCCTGAAAATTGAAAAATGCTTACTTTTCAGTCTAGCTTTCTCAGCTGGATCCAGAGCAGCCACGGGCTCAGAAACTCTAGATGGTAGACCTATTCCAGTTTTATTCACAGCTCGAACTCGGAATATGTAAGAACGACCTTCTATCAACCCAGTGACTGGAAAACGAGCAAACTTCACAGGTGTGTCATTGCATTGAGACCAGCTATCTGTGCCCACCTCACACCTATGGGGAAAAAGAGTGATCAATAAGAATTAAAAGAAGTCTGACTAAATTAATAGCTCCAAAGCTGCAAACCCACCCAATTGCTTCAGATCTCCCTATAAAATATCCAGCTCGGGTGTGGTTCAGTAGTTATTTAACTGCATGCACTCGGTTCCACTTAATTGCAATGTGTCTTCTTTAATAAGAAAGAAGCCTCAGATCCTTCCTAAACACATATACTTCCTTTAAATTCCCTGAAAACTAGCAGCTGAGGGCCTTGTATGCTAGGCAGAGGAACTTTGGGGAGAAAAAGCAGAAGCAGCAGGCAGGTATGTACACTCTCGACATTGGAGAGACTAAGAGGGAGGATCCCCCAAACATCTCCCTGGCTGACGTCTTTAATTCCATTGTTGGTGACTTCTTTCTTTGTCTTCTTTACACATTTTCTTTTAAAAATAAAAATTTTGTTTGAGGAAGTTAACACCTTAAATGTACCTGTTTATACCGTAGTTTGGAAAGAGCCCACTTTTTTTTTCTTAGGTAATCTCCACACCCAATGTGGGGCTCAAACTCATGAGACTGAGATCAAGAGTTGCCTGCTCTACCGAGTAGCCAGGCACCCTTGGAAAAAGCCTACTTAATGATCATTATATGCTGTGTAGGTAGAAGGGTGAAGAGAGTATTATAATATACTTGTTTCTTAACAGATGAGATTGATGAGATGCAGGGAAATTCCCAGGCCCACTGGCAGGGAAAGATTAAGTGCTTAGAACCTCTGATTTCTAACTGGGTGCTTTTATTGCAGTTGGTGTCTGGGGTGGAGTGGTTCATATCATGCTATTGGCCTGATAGACGGGGCTAGGGGCTCAGCATGTGATTAAATTATACAGCACTAGGATTAAGTAACTCATCAGCTTTTATGAGAACACAGAACTTTTAGTTTATGTCACTTCCCCAATATGGTCTATGTCTAAAACATCTAATTCCCGGGGCACCTGGGTGGCTCAGTCGGTTGAGTGTCCAACTTCAGCCAGGTCATGACTTCACGGTCTGTGAGTTCAAGCCCCGCGTCGGGCTCTGTGCTGACAGCTCAGAGCCTGGAGGCTGTTTCAGATTCTGTGTCTCCCTCTCTCTCTGCTCCTCCCCTGCTCATGCTCTGTCTGTGTCTCAAAAATAAATAAAAACATTAAAACATCTAATTCCCAAATAATTCTGATGGGGGAGGGAGTTCTAATGGCAGTGCAAAGTTGGTCAGGGTGGGAAGTTTCTCTTCACTTCCTCAGCCTCACCCTTCCAGTTTTTGATATAGACAATAGACATTTTCCTCACCCTTATGTAAAGTGCTGTCAAATATGGCTTAAATCCCTGCCTTTCACCCTTAAATCTTGCCTTTGCAGAAATTCTGGAGCTGCTATGGGTAGGGTTTGGGAGGGAGCCAAGAGGCCTAGGACAATTCTTCAAACTGCCTCTGTCTCCAGAGATTCTCTCTCTCTCCCTATGCAGATGCTGTCATGGTGACCCAGTGATAGTAGAGTGTGTTTCCCAACCCTCATGTGGGCAGAAAGAAAGGTGGGCAGTAGCTGCTCTGGAGATGCCTACAGCATGTTGGAGCAGAAAGGACACCAACATATGGCCAGGCTGATATTTGAATTCTAGTGTGACTTTAGGCAACTTAGTGTTTTCTCATGAGTATGTGGCTTTGGGCCAGCTACTGTTTCCTACTTGTAATAAGAGTGTCTACCTTTCAAATGGTCGTTATAGGTTAATGGTTAATATATGTGATGTGTTTAGAACAGTGCCATGAACGTAACCAATTTTAATAAATACAAGCCACAATATGGTTATTTTCATGATGACTAAGCAAAATGTGCTACTAATTGTTGCTGGTCTTTCACTGATGAAGTTTCCAAATCCTTTGGAAATCTGCCAAAGACAATAAGGCAGTCTGTAAAAATGAAAAAGAATCTACCTAAAATTTAACAGTTCATCATCACTAAATGACAAAACAATGTGGAAGAATTTAGTATGGGTTAAATGGTGTATTATTTATTATAAATATTTCTCTGCATGGTATTGAGCCCAATAGGCATGCATATATATATATATTTTATACTGAATTTTTAATGTTTATTTATTCTTGAGAGAGAGACAGAACATGAGTGAGGGAGGGGCAAAGAGAAAGGGAGACACAGAATCTGAAGCAGGCTCCAGGCTCTGAGCTGTCAGCACAGAGCTCAATGTGGGGCTTGAACCCATGAACTACAAGATCATGACCTGAGCCAAAGTCAGCTGCTCAACCAACTGAGCCACCCAGGTGCCCCAATAAGCATATATTTACTTATTACTATAAATATTAGGTTTAATACACCTTAGTACAAACCTATTGTACCACAGTGGCACAGATTATCTGTCCCTAGTGGTTTCTACAATTAGATTCTATTACTGAAAATTGGAAAGAAAATTGGAACAACTATTTGAATAGAAACTAAGTCAGATAATAATGTATTTAGGTTGATAATCTAAATTTGTTGTCTATATTGACCAAACTCACTGTATAATTAATGTGTAAGACCCAATTGCTATAAATATCAAAGTTCTAAGTTTTAGAGAATGTGAACAACAAAAAGTTATAGAAAGAATATGACTTAATACTATTGATATTTGTTATTTCTTTGTCTAATTTGAAACCACATCCTGTAACGTAAATAGGATTTTGTTAGTATTCCTAAAGCATTATTGTTTAAATTACTTAATATTTTAAAATTACTAACAAATTAGGAATATGGACATTAAATATAATGGACACCAGCTATTTCCAAAGTGGTCTCCAGAATGTCTATAAATTCATAGCATTCTTGCCAAATTAGTGATTTGCATTAGTAGTCAGATTCAAAAATTGTCTTTGGGATTTAGGTCAATAGATAGGTGTGTGTGTGTGTGTGTGTGTGTGTGTGTGTGTGTGTGTGTGTGTGTATTTGTGAGAGAGAAAGAGACAAAGAGAGGGAGACAGAGAGACAGAGAAAGAGGGAGAGGAGACCAGAAAAGAAAATAGACTAAGTACTAACTTATCAATAAAATATCCCAGAATAGGACTCCCTCCATCCACAGCTGGCTGTTTCCAAGAGATGATGATATAATCTTTGTTGGCATCCAAGCACATCACGTCTAAGGGAGCAGCTGGGGCTCCTTCAATCTCTGCATCAGCATCTGTGGAGACACAGAAGGATCTCATTAACCCTCTCAGATAAGCTCCATCACAGTCTGGCAATCCAAGACTTAGTGCATACATTTCCTACCACACTTATAGTGGCTACATCTTTGGCTCAAGTAGAGCAAGCTTCAACCTTATAATTTGCTTACCAACATGATGATGTGTGTTTTCATCAGCAGCACAAACATTATGTTAGTAAGGGCTCTCAAAAGGACCCGTGACCTTTGCTTTATGGCCTTTGCCTACCCAAAATGTTCTAAAGGAAAATAAGTATGGAGATGTCAGGAATTGCTATCAGAAAAGTCTAAGGTGAGCCGAGTCAGAAAGTCTGTTCTTAAGATATCTCTTGTACAATATTACTCAGAAACATGAGCCACTCCAAAGGGGAACAAAGAGTCCCTTCTGTCACCTTCTCGATGCATCCACGAAAGAATAAAAAACTTTACCCACTCCTCTGCTGGGCACTACCATTTTGGAAGATAAAGGAAAACATTCCTTTTAATCAAATGTTTGTTCCCAGACTGAAGACACTTGCGAAAGGAACTCTGATGCAATACCCACATCTGAGTGGAGTTTATCTGAGTTTAGTAAAAGTCCAGGATTATACAGGAAAGAGACGGCAGTGACTGTTTATGAAACAGGATCCTCTGACTGTGGGTGTCCTCAGCAGTGTCTTCAGGCATAGCTCACATAGTGAATCAGGGATGTTTTTAGGAGAGCAAGGGGAATGAAAATAATCAGTTAATAGCCTTTTAAGTGAGATTAAGATGAGAGGTGGAGTTCCTGGAGGTGGGGTCCACATTGCCAATTTCTCCTGAACTCCAGCCAACCTTTTCATAACTGGAGTTAATAGGAGAGGAGGCTGAGACATGTCGGACCACTCAACTCAGGCAAAACACTCCTGTTGACTGAATAAATCCTTTTTTTTTTTTTTTTTTTACAATGAGCTACACTTCTATAACTCTTATGAATTACTAAAATATTTGATAAGAAGGCAGAGATATCTGTGCACTTCTGAATTTGATAGGTTTGCATTACCTGAGAAGAGCTAAAGTCACTTTGGTTTTGAATATTCTATTTTTTGCCCCATGAACCTGTAGGAAAGTGTTTCTAGGCAACTTCTCTGGTGTAAGTGACTAACTTAGTGTAGAATTAACTAAATCCTGGTGCCTAAAAGCAAGCGTTTTGGTGGGGAGAAATTTCTTTCCTTTCAGGCTTTGAGAGCAATGGATGGAGGCAGAGCCGGCTGATGGTGAAGTTAGAGCAGAGCTGGAAGGGGGTAGAGATGCTGAGGTTAATAGGCTTAAATGGCAGAAGAGGAAGGCTGGAAAGCTGCTCATTTGGATGGGGACAGCTGGTCACCTCTACCCATGTCCTTTTGCTAAAGGCCCATAATGTAACAACCAGTAATCCCTGAGTTGATAGAGCAGTTTAGTTTGCTGAATATCCATTATATATAATAGAGCCTATCAGATGGTAGGTATTTCAGGAGCCATTTTTCAGCATATTTATAACATTTCTTGGACTATGCTATTCTTGGGATGGGCATGACAGTCCCTCACAAAACAGGTTCTGTATAGAAGCCAAATCCAAATACTGTGTTATGTTGCATCACATTTGTCTGGCCTAAATCTGGCAGAGAGCCACAATTCTGATTATAGGCACTGAGAAATGGCACTGAAAAAACCCCTAGGCTATGTCAGAGGTCCCAGAAAAAGTCCAATAAAGAATCATCGAGGCATAACTAAGGTTTTTTTGAGTCACCAAGAGATACTCCCTGTTTGGGTAAGACAACTGAGAGCAAAGGAAAAGACTTTGCTTATTCAGTCCTTGTCTAGCCAGGTTTATCCAGGTGGTTTGGCTGAACAAACTTACTTGCTGATGAGTTTCAGTGTGTCTGTTTTCACTGCAGTTGATCCAGAGGCTAGCATCTGTCTTCCCTCAGTGATACTGGACTTTTCCTATAACACTTTTGTGTAGGAGAAAGTCTGACACATTTTCAGGTGATGTAGATATTCCTGTATCTTTATCGGTTGTTGATCCCATGGCAGAATTCAACAATCGTTACTGTTCACTACTGGTGTGTATAGGCTGCTAACCATCCCCATTATCCATTCTTTGTGTTTCCTAGATGCCCCAGCTTTAGCAAGAAACATGGCTGCCCAAGTGGATACATGACGCCTAGCTTCCCTCACAGTGAAATGTGTGCCTATGGCTAAGTGTTTACCATGCAGAAGGGATGTGTGCAACTCTGCATCTCCCCCTCCACTTCCTTTCCCTTCCCATAGTCTGGGATGGGAACATGGGATAACACCACGGGGGCAGTGGAACACCAATGGAGACAGGACCTGGGACTCTGAACCATACCTCTACTTCTGAGTTGACAGACATACAAGAGAAATTAACCTTTTCGTATCATTTCAGCAGCTTAGCCTATACCCTAATTGAAATCCTGGGTTAGGCTTCCGAAGACCTGTATCCTATGTCCACTGCTGCTTTTAACTAACTGTGAGTCTACTGGTAAATCACTTTGTTTTTCTGAACCTCAGTTTCTGCATCTTAAAATTAAAGGGGTGGACCAGAATGGGAATCCAAACTTTTTTGTGCCATAGACTCCTTTGGCAGACTGGCAAAGAAAGTCTAGAAGCCTCTTTTCAGAATATTGCTTTCAAATGCATAAAATAAAAGACATGAGATTACCAAAGAAACTAAATATATTGAAATATAATTCTTAAAAAAAAAATTTTATGTTTATTTATTTTTGAGAGACAGAGAGAGGCAGAGCATGAACAGGAGAGGGGCAGAGTGAGAAGGAGACACAGACTCTGAAGCCACGCTCCAGGCTCTGAGCTGTCAGCACAAAGCCTGATACGGGGCTCGAACTAATGAGCCGTGAGATCATGACCTGAGCTGAAGCAGGATGCTTAACCAACTGAGCCACCCAGACACCCCAAAATACAATTCTAATCATAGACCCTTTGGGAGTCTGTGGATCCCACTTAAGGACACCTGACCTCTAAAGTTCCATCTTGATCAAAATTCCTGTGAGTTTATGATTCTATTTAGTGCATGAGAGATTTTTTAAAAAATATAGTAAGTCTCCTGTATTGTTTATATTTTAATTTTCTGTATATTATGATGTTTTGACACCTTAAAAAACTTTCTGACTGGGGAGATGCTGCCCCTCCCAGGGCTAGCCAATTCTTGGATAGAATGGGCTCAGCCAGAGCATGCCTTTAATATGCAAACTGACCCATCCAGAGCCACACATTCTCTATCTGGTCTGTGCACCCCAGGGAGCAATATTCCCCTGCCTTAATCATCCCAGGACCTGGTAGCAGGCCGGTACGGACCACGCCTATAGTTTAGAGTCTACCCAAATTATTCAAACTAGCCAATCCTAAACTGTTTATCCTGCCCTGCCTTGCCTTGCCTTTCCCACAGAAACTCCAATAAAAGCCATGGCCTAAGCTCTCCCCTCCTTCCGACCCCTTCTTCCTGGCCAACCAATGCTGATTTTCCCCCATGTGGCCCTGTGTGGTGTGCAGTACCTCCTGTCTAGGACCTGTGGGTGCAATAAACTTCGTTTTCTGGATCCTCTCCTGTGTCTCCTCTTGTGGCCACACCTGACTAACCATCACAGAAGAGAACACAGAACACTGCTCCTGTAACCTGGAACTGTCAATCGTCTTCCAAATGCACTGGGATCCCATACAAATCACATTCCCACTTGTATATAGCCAATCCATTTAAAACACAGCTGAAGAATTAAAGACTCCTAAAATCACAATTCTAGTTTGCCTTCAAGATTAAATTGTAGGGGCGCCTGGGTGGCTCAGTCTTTGGCGTCTTTGGCTCAGGTCATGATCTCCTGATCTTTGTGGGTTCAAGCCCCATGTCAGGCTCTGTGCTGACAGCTCAGAGCCTGGAGCCTGCTTCGGATTCTGTGTCTCCCCCTCTCTCTCTGCCCTTCCCCCACTCATGCTCTGTCTCTCATTGTCTCAAAAATAAATAAACATTAAAAAAAATTTTTAAAGATTAAATTGTAGCACCTTGTTTCCTAGTTCATTAAAGCTGAAAGTATAAAGAAGGGGGCTGGAGTGAAATGATAAATTTGCTCTCTGAAATAGATATTAAAGAGTAAGTCCCCAAGTAGCACATCCCTCTTTTGTTGCAGCTCCCATAAACTGAAACGGCTTTTTAGATCATTAGGATGGATTATCTCCAATGGAACACCTATAGAGACCTGCACTGGTAGCTCACTGAAGCTGAAGAAAGTAATGACATCAGAGATATTAACACAGTCTGGGAACAAGTTACCTTGGGGTTGGTGCCTGAGGGTTAACCTTTTTCTACTAGGTCTAATTTCACTGGAAGTTAATAATCTTATGCCATGCATACTAGAAGAATTTTCAAATGGCTCTTTCATCATTACAAAAAACATGTTTGGATAGATTGATTTGGTCTCAGTGTTTTAAACATGCTTGGGTGTTCTGCTTTTTGCTAGGTCTTACCGCGAACAAAGACATAAGCGCTATATTGTTCATAATATTCTCCCATTCGCACACGGATCGTGTAGAGGCCTTCATCTTCTTTGTTGAGATGAGAAAACGTCAGCGTTGCTCTATCTCCACTCCAGTGTGTTTGTACCCATTTTGATGGAGAAACAGGTGCTCCTAGAAATTTTTTTTAAAAGTAAGAAAATTAAGTGATTTTTTTCCTCCATTGCTCCCTTCTTTTTCTCTCCTTCATTCTCTTCCACCTTCTCTCTCTCTCTCTCTCTCTCTCTCTCTCTCTCTCTGCCTCTTCTATATTGAAAGAGATCTGACAATTAGTAGAAGTCTCTAGGGCTTTGGGCCATTCTGCCATGCTAATATTGGTGAAAATACTAAATCAGAAGTGAGGGGACCAGGGCCAGATACATAATCTGCAGGGTCCAGTGCAAAATGAAATTACAATCCCCCTGTCTAAAACGCAGAGAAAACAGGGACCTGGGTAGCTTAGTTGGTTGAGTGTCCAACTCTTGATTTCAGCTCAGGTCATGATCCCAGGGTCATGAGATCAAGCCCCATGTTGGGGTCCACACTGAACATGGAGCCTGCTTGAAATTCTCTCTCTCTCTCTCTCTCTCTTTCTCTTTCCCTCTTCCCCGCTCCCTACTCACATGCTCTCTAAAATAAAAAAAAAGCAGAGAAAAAAATACAGTTAGAGGTACTAAAATATAAGTTTTTTTCTCTAAAACAACTTTATTGCATATAAAATATAATTGGGGTAACCCAAAATACAAAAAATAATATTTTTATGCCATAATTTTATACACAAAAATATTTATCAATGTAATATCTTGATTGATAATAAGATATTTCTGGCTTGCTTTTCTACAAATTCAGTTATTAGGTCATCAGATATATACTTTTAGCAACTTTATTTTATTTATCTATTTGTTTTTAAATATTTTGTAAATGTTTATTTTATTTTTGAGAGAAAGAGAGAGAGACAGACCATGAATGGAGGAGGGGCAGAGAGAGAGGGAGACACAGAATCCGAAGCAGTCTCCAGACTCTGAGCTGTCAGCACAGAGCCCAATGCAGGGCTCGAACCCACAAACAGTGAGATCATGACCTGAGCCGAAGTCAGACACTTAACCGACTGAGCCACCCAGGCAGCATTATTTTAAATCAATATACTTGAAAGCAACATCAGTCACTCTTGGCAAATGCAAGATCACAAATGAGCTGATAAGTTTTAATTTTGAGAAGGATCTTTCTGCTGATGCAACTATTATTGCAGCTATTCAGATATTACATAGTTATATATAGCCATATTCTTATAAAGTTAACATTGGGTTAACTTTCTGATAAATTATTTCAAAATATAAATTTTAGTACTCTAGAACTATTGATTCTTAAGGAACAAAATTTCTAAAAGAATTTGATTCTTGGGGTGTCTGGGTGGCTCAGTCGGTTAAGTGTCCAACTCTTGATCTCAGCTCAGGTCACGTTCTCATGGTTCGTGAGATCAAGCCCCGTGTTGGCTCTGCATTAACAGCACAGAGCTTGGTTGGGATTCTCTCTCCCTGTCTCTCTGCCCCTTCCCTGCTTTCACTCTCTCTTTCTCTCAAAATAAAGAAATAAACTTTGAAAAAATATTTTATTCTTCATATAAATCAGTTTCACATAAGTCTGAATTTAATTTTAAATGTAAATTTACATAATTACATCTTAATAGTTTCTCTAACATGTGCTGTAACTTGTAGAGGTTATACAAGAGACAGAAAATGATTTGTACATAAATCAAATGTCTACTTATGCATTCTATCACTGCATCTTCAATTATAAGGAAAATTAATTTTAAAATTATCTTCCTTGTTAATAATTGCTTCATCCAAAGTTTCATATGAAAATAGTGTTCTTTTTCATTGAATGTGACAATCTTTAAATTTAATTTATATTTCTAAGCCTCTGAATATTTGCCATGCAGTGTTATAATGGTTTTCAAAACCAGAGATTCTAAACTGAAGCTCTCCAACAACTGTTTTGTATGCTTAAGTGTGATGTCTATATACATGCTTTTATTTTGTAATTTTACTGACAAAGTTCACTGCCTAGTTGCTGATAGTTCCTGTCCTGATGCTAGCCTAGTAAATTAGTATTTGTGCAGATCCCATAGAAGCCAGCTCTGGGGAAGGAAGAACAGCCTGGCAATCTCCCACTGTAGGTTCCCATGCTGCCCCCACATGGAGTCCCTCCTCTTCTCTAGGGCCATGTTCACTGTTAATACTGCTGTTGCCATTACTGGCTTCAGTCTGGACCCAGATGCTCCATAATGCCCCAGATGCCTGTCTGCACAACTGAAGTTCAGGCCAACTGCTTGGTGACTACGCTGCTTGCTGCCCACCACGCCCAAGGGTCAGTAGTCATGCTCCATAGTTCAACTAAACTGCAATGGACTTCCCTTTATTTTACCAACTAAAATTAACTTACAAAACGAATATATAACTAATTTACAAAAATACATTTTTCATAATCTTTTCCACGTTACTTGGTGATAAGAAATTATAATCTCCACAAATATATTATAAAAGTTCTGCTCCTTTGATACATGTATGAATTTTTTTTTCAATATCCAATAGGTTATGCCTCCTAATATCCATATTCTGCCAGCTCTGATAAACAGGCCTGCAGTCTTGTGGACACTCATGCTCTGGTGCCAAGCCTTATTCTGTGAATAAGAATCTAAATGAGAATTCATCACAGAGTCTCACCATTTCTGTACCACTGGATCTCTGGCTGGAAATGCTTAATTTCAGGAGTGATAACTACACGGCAGCCTAGACTCATCGTCTCGCCCTCTCTCCCAAAAGACACGTCAAACTTGTCATCAAAGTGGATCTCAAACTTGGACGCATAACCATAAGGGGTCACAGCAACTGGGTACGACAAAAACAAACATTGGTTAACTTGTTTTTTCTCATCAGAGAGACACAAGCATTTTAACAAGCAGTTACAACAAACACTGATCAAATGGTTTATTTGGGCAAAATATTAAGTCTTATAAAGATGTACAAAGCACATTCCCACATATTACTATGTGAAATGGAAATTCTAGGTGTGGAAATTCTTGCTTCATTGGTCAGATAAGCTAAATGTTTGTTGTTATTATTGCAATGAATAGAATTTAAAGGATCAGGTTTAATACCTCACATAGCATATAAATTAATACCACATTTAGCTTATACTTAACTACTTAGCACAATATATGTACTTTTTAGATTCCTAGTTCATTTAAAACTGAACTGCTGTACTGCTCAAACAGCCATATCAATTACTCATAAAAATACAGTTTTCCAGCAAGTCGCTTCAGTTTAACTATCTGTATAAAAAAATATATTATAAGAAATGTCAAACTGAAAAGTTCACAATAATATGACTTTAAAAATATTTTTCTTAGCAATAACTTATTCATTGATTAAGTAAATCCCTGCATCATAAACACTCCCAGGTTTTATTTTCTCTTTTCTCAAAAGAAAGGACTTGGGAAAATAATGACTCTATGGACAGTTACCATGCCAGGCACTTTACATTTGACATGTCGTCTGTTCCTTGCAAAAGCCCCATGGCATAGATATTTTTTTTCTCTCTTGCAGATGAGAATGCAGAAGTTCACAAAAATAACATACAGCTAATGTCCAGGTTTCGTACTATGTGTGAAATTGAAATTCAAACTCTAAAATTTCTCTCCGATTTCATCTCTCTTCCTAAAATGTCTTAGAATTAATTTGAAAATGCAAGCTAAAATGTATCGAGTTCAACTTGTGCCAAGTAGTGTTCCAAATGTTAAATAGCTATTACCTCAAACCTCATAATAGCTCAATCAGGTAAGTGCTATTATCATCTCTCTGTCTTATAGAGGAGGAAACAGAAGCATAGGGAGGCCAAGTAACTGCCCATGTTTACCCTGCAGAGCCAGGATTTACACTGGAGGGCTGTTAAAACCTGTGCTCTCAAGCAAGACATGATATTGCCTTGAATTTGTGTGTTCCCAGGCAACCCCTAACCAATAGTGAAACAACTTCCCTTTGAAGCACAGGTTACATCTGCCCCACTTGTATATGATGGTATCCCACTGAGATCAAAAAGTGAAACAACTCAATCAGACCTTACTGTCCGGAGAGCCAGGCTGGCTCCAAAGCTGCCTTAGGAGTAGAGATAACAGTTACAAAGAAAGCTGGGATTAGGTCAGGGTTTGGCAAATCTGTGAGCCAGATCTGGACTGTCTCCTGTTTGCACCACTAGAAAAATAAATTTCAATTGTTTAAATGATCAAGATAAAATCAAAAGAAGAATATTTTGTGATGTATGAAAAGTTACAGGGAATTCAAATTTCAATGTTCATAAGTAAGGTTTAATTGGAAGGCAGCCATGCTCATTTATTTACCTACTGTCTATGGCTACTTTGTGTTACAAAGGTAGAGTTGAGTCGTGACAAAGACCATATGACCCACAAAGCCTAAAGTATTTACAACCCTAAAGTATTTACAATTTACAAATTACAGGTAGTTCACAAATCATAATTATAGGAGTCCTTCACAGAAAATACTGACTCCTGTTTTAGAATATGACTTAGGGGGCACCTGGGTAGCTCAGTCGGTTAAGCATCTGACTTTGGCTCAGGTCATGATCTCAACAGTTCGTGAGTTCGAGCCCCCTGTTGGGGTCTAGGCTGACAGCTGGGAGCCTAGAGCCTGATTTGGATTATGTGCTGTGTCTCCCTGTCTCTCTGCTTTCCCCCACTTGCTTTCTCTCTCTCTCTCTCTCTCTCTCAAAAATAAATAAATATTTTGAAAAAATTAAAAAAAAATAGAGTATGGCTTAGAATTAGAGAGACCAATTTACAAGTCCCTGTTCTACCACTCTATGTGGTGTTGTCTCATTATTTAACCTATCAAAAACTGTTTCCTCATAGGCACAGCACAGATAAAAGACACCTATTTTATAAGCTTTGGGAGAGCATTACATGATTATTGCATATAACAAAATATCTTAGTATGCTGTCTGGTACAACTGATCAATATATGTTAACTACTAAAACAGAACCAAGGGCAGGGAGCTTTATCTATGATATTTACCAGCATATTCCAAGCACCTACACCAGTACCTAGCACATAACAGATTCTCAATAAATATTAGTTGAATAAATGAATAAAATCCCTCTGTTTTCTCTGTTGGAAACAACTGCACTTAATTCAGGGGCCGGTCAGATTAAAAAGTTAGAGAGGTAGGTTGAGCTGGGCTTTTCAACCCTGGCTTGGTGGAGAAGAGAGAAACAGGAGAAATATGGATGATGATATGGCAGTGGGAATGAGCAGGATACATTTAGAGGACCATGAAATAAATGATTAATAAACCAGCCTTAGGGACAATGGGAGATAAGTCATAGTTCCAGAATTTCCAACTATTCTATCTCAATACAAACGAAATGATAGAAGAAAAACATGATTGGGGATGTGCTCCTCCCTCACTCCCACCCATCATCCCCTCCCAGCCACCCATGGGATTTGTACCAATGATTAAAACTTGGAATATTAAAATTAGGAGCCATTCCATGAATTTGATGGAACAGGTGATCTATAGACATCAAACTAAGCAGGTGAAAAACTGACCCATGAGAAAGTATCTTCATCAACCCATGAGAAAGTATCTTCATCAAGCATTTTCAAAACTACAATTTACATTTTAACATTCAGAAAATAAGTTCAGGCGTGACTACCTTTTTCAGTCTGACCATTGTAAGCACTGAATTATTGAACAACCATAAGGATTTTGTTTTTATTGTTTCCTATGAAAAGAAGTTCTGATATAGACAAAATGATTGGAGTTCACAAATAACCACAGATCAGAATATTTTTAATAGCTTGTTATTATAGCACATTTAGACATCATGTGTTTTGATTTGTACTTCATAAATTAACGTATTTATTATTCATTCATTATCAAACACCTACGCTGTGTCAGGTGCTGGGGTTAGAGATAAAAGGTCCAGCTTTGCCTTTAAGTGGCTTAGAGGCCAGTGGGAGAAAGAGACACATAACAGTTAACAGCATCCAATGTGATGGATGCTCTGATGGTCTCACCAAGGACACCTAACCCTGACTGGGTAGGGGTGGGGTAGCAGTGGGAGTCAGACATAGATGTCTCCAGGAGTGATGCTGACCTGGATGCCCTGATACAGTACATATGCGTGTATGTGCGTGCGTGTGTGTGTGTGTGTGTGTGTGTGTGTGTGTGTGCGCGCGCGTGTGGGCATGTGTGTGTGTGTGTGTGTGGTTAAATCACTCTGCCCAGGATTGTGTAATGATCTTCTTCAGTTTAACACAGAAAGACTTAAAAACATTTGCCATTTTTAGCCCATCATATCTGGGCTTTTATAAAACCAGAACAAAGCAATTATATTCAGAAAGAGAATAGTAACCAAAGAATCTAAAAAATAAAAGAGTGCTATTATATACGTACTAGCATATGTTATAATAATCCTATGCTTTTATTTCAGCATTATAGAATGGCTTATTATGCTGGATTTTAAATAGAGATGACATTCAGCAAATATATTTTTAAACTTACAGCTGAGGGGCAGGGTGGAAACCCCAGCATGGAAGCGAGTCTCATCAAACTCTCCCTTATATCCTAGAAAAGAAAGCAGAAATACATATGAACTGCTTCTTGATTTATTTTTAGCAATGAGAGTTAATTTTTTAAAAATGCATTTTGAATAAAACAAGCCCAGCAAACTCACTCTTTACGACAACCGAAGCATATGCTGAAAGCTCTCCTTTAACATTCATCGCTGAAGCCCGGTACTGGGCAGTGTCTTCAAAATTACATCTGAAAGGACAGAAGGAAGTGAGTGACCATTGCAACAGTGCTGTTCTATCAAAGGTATCTTTGCTGACATCACACACCGCAAATCACTGGCTAACAACGTGGCTCCTGGGGACTCTTTTTCTTTTTAACTGTTTATTTATTTATTTTGAGAGAGAGAGCACAAGCAGGGGGAGGAGCAGAGAGAGAGGAGAGAGAAAGAATCCCAAGCAGGCTCCATGGTCAGCACAGAGCCCAATGTGGGGTTCGATCTCATAATCGTGAGATCATGACCTGAGCTGAAATCAACAGTTGGACGTTTAACCAACTGAGCCACCCAGGCGCCCTGGCTGTTGGGGACTCTTGATGAAGCTACTAACTCCAATCTAGCTCCCTGTGGGATTTTATATAATGCAAGATATCTACTGCAGTTTGAGGCCAGCTGTACAGAATTGGAGAAGGACACCTATGGTCCACTGTGACCCTAGCCCAGGTTCATTTAAAATGTCCAAAAAAGGGGCGCCTGGGTGGCTCAGTCAGTTAAGCGGCTGACTTCAGCTCAGGTCATGATCTCTCGGTCCGTGAGTTTGAGCCCCGCGTCGGGCTCTGTGCTGACAGCTCAGAGCCTGGAGCCTGTTTCAGATTCTGTGTCTCCCTCTCTCTGACCCTCCCCTGTTCATGCTCTGTCTCTCCCTGTCTCAAAAATAAATAAAACGTTAAAAAAAATTTTTTTTAAATGTCAAAAAAAAAAAATGTCAGCAAAGTGTTAAGCGCATAAATTACAGCACAAACAGTGTTACAATTAACTGGTCTAAAGCTGTGTCAGGAACAGAAAATGTCCAGCCATGTACCTTTGTAGTAGTAACTACCCAGAGCACCCTGGGGGGACAGTCTTCCTGCTGGCATCCCTCAGGGTGAGTTTCAGTCTGGGGGGAACAGAGAGGGAAAGACACAGCCGCTCTCCTTGAGCCACAAACCAATCTGGGTCTGTCTAATGGGTGGGTCTGTGTTCTAGCTCCAAAGTACAAATATGCTATTTCTGTCTCAACTCTACCAAGGTTCAGGTCGCACTTGGAGATTCAGCCCATAGTACAACACAAGCAGTGCTATTTGGAAGTTCCTGTAAGTTATAATACAGAAACTGGGATGTGTTTAATAATAAAACAAAAGAAAGAATGATCTCACAGAGATGAATAAGCTAAGATTTCAAAGCAGGTCTTTTTGTGTCTTGTCATAACCAGTGTCTGAGTTCCTCGTTGACTTTCTGGGTTTAGCGTCATTTGTAAAAACCTATTTCTTGTTGAAATTTTATAGACACCAGCACAACCCCAGGAAGGTCAATATGGTTGCCTTTCTCATAACTACTGAATTATAAAGCAACCACAGAGCTCACTTCAGCCTCAGTAGAACCACCAAGTGGCAGAACTGAAGTGACTCTGGTTGGAGGTCGATGCTCGGCAAATGTCACAGGGCCCCAGAGTCCTGCTTGAATCCCTGTATCCCATGTGGCAGCTGTTCTGATCTGAGGAGAAGACTACAAACTCTCTTGAGATCACAATGATGTAAATTTTACTTTGACGTCTCAGCATGTCACAGTTTCATGTGAACTGCAAATAGTGGGAGTTTTAGCTTTTTCATTCACATGACTAAGCTTGGATTTCAAAACCATATTAGGAGATATGATAAACCTTTGAGGATTTAGAAATTTTGATGTGGCTTCTGCTTTCAATTCTGCTTTGCATTTTGCTTTAAAAACACCCTGGTGTCCAGTCCTGCCTCCCTCTGCAGGCTGACAGGGTGGGCAGATAATTTCCCACACTTTCTGGTGGGAAGCTTACTTTCACTGCCACCCACCGCAATCTCCATGGCCTCTGCCGACTAAAGGCAAAAAAGGATGATGATGATGATGGAAGGATAACTAAATATAAGTGCCTACTTATGTAACTTATTTTCTTTTTTTTTTTTTTTTTTTTTTTTTTTTTTTTTTTTAACGTTTATTTATTTTTTTGGGACAGAGAGAGACAGAGCATGAACGGGGGAGGGGCAGAGAGAGAGGGAGACACAGAATCAGAAACAGGCTCCAGGCTCCGAGCCATCAGCCCAGAGCCCGACGCGGGGCTCGAACTCACGGACCGCGAGATCGTGACCTGGCTGAAGTCGGACGCTTAACCGACTGCGCCACCCAGGCGCCCCTGTAACTTATTTTCTTACTAATGTCTAGAAAAACTCTCAAGTATATAAAATGATAAATTAAAAGAGAGAAGTTAATTTTATTGTCATCATCTTTTACTAAATTCAAATCTAAGATCACTTTGTGATCCTGTTGCACTGGGAAGAAAGGGGGAGAGTGGTTGTTAACTGGAGTGGTGAGATGACTCCCCAGGCAATTGCTGAACAACACACATATGGACCCAGATGTCCTCTTACGCATTGATCTCCAGAGTATGCATTCCATATCGACTCTCAATAATGTACTTTCCAGGGTTTGCGTGGACATTTATTGGCACCTGGTTTTTATACCTGTGAGACAAGAGAACAAGGTGAAATAAGTAGAAATGTAAATAGCCTTATGATTAAAAGCACACCCACACAATCCTTGTTCTTCAAGGGACACCTATAAACATGGCACTGAGATTAGCAGCAGTATCTGTTCAATAAATACAAATCTATGGCAGATTAAATAAAATGCACTATAAATCCAGTAAAACTTCTTGATGAGCGTCCTTTCCTCTCTTCCATCATAAAAATTACATTTAAGAAGTTGACCATTCATAACAATGTGGTTGAGTCTCACATACATAATGTTGAGTGAAAATAACCAGACACAAAAGAGTATATAATGATTGCTTTTATATAAAGTACAAAACCAGAAAAGACCAAATTAATGCTATTAGAAGTGAAGAGAGTGACTTCCCAGGGGAGGGGGGTGGTGGGGGGGGAGACAGCAGACATGAAGGAGGCATTTAGGTGCTGATAATGTTTGGTTTCTTGTGTTTGAGTACTGGTTACACGGGTGTGTACAGTCTACAAAAATTCACCAAAGCTCTACATTTATATGTAATACGTACTTTTTGTGTGTGTATATTATACTTCAATAAAAGACTGAAAGAAAAACTTATCCATTGTTGACAGGACAGAAAGGAAGGCTTTATGTTGGGAGTTTTATCATTGGCTGTCTGTAGGATGAAAGTAAAACATTCTTCCTACTAAGATTCTTCCATGTTGTTAAAAACAATGCCATTGTATTGAAAGCTCATTATATTTAAGTGTTTTGTTCTGTTAAAGGCAAGCATGGCTCTCGGCTTGGGAGAACTTAAATATCAATCACGAAAGAAAAAGTCTGACAAATAAAAGCTGAAAGATTCCCTTTTTCTGACTGTCCCATTCCTGGCTAAGACTGTCAGCCCTCAGAGAGTAGGGCTACATGGAGGGGCCCTTCCTCAGACACTGTCCCCCAAGGCTGGAAGTCACACCTTGATTCTTCACCACCTCCTCATGCCCTCAATAGCCAATGGCTATGGTGCCAGACCAGGCTTTTTTGCTTAAGCCATTTTCTGTCCAAGAGCTAGATTTCACTTGCTTCCCTTTCAAACACCCCACTTCACGTGCCCAGATAATGTAAATAACACTAATAACCACAACTCAGAGCATTTGCTGTGAGCCAAGGCAAGAGTCTAAGTGCTTTACATATAGATTAGAAAATTCAATCCTCAACAACTGCATGAAATAGTACTATTTGTAACATCATTTTCCGTATTAAAAAAACCAAGGCCAGGAGAAGTTAAGTAACTTGTCCCAGTTCACATAGCTAGATAGCAGAACTGGGATTTGAACCCAAGCAGTCTGACTTGTGACAACATATGATGCTTCCATTGTCCAACTGTTCTCTATTTAGCTGCATTTTATTTCTTCAGACTTCTGGAAATGGTTATAATGAGGTTTGGGAGCAGGGAAAGTGGTGGAAAGGGAGAGAAAGAAAGGAAATAATTTTCAGTCAGTTCCTTCCTCTCCCCAGCTCACACACGCACATGTGCACACACATGCCCTATGTCCCTAAAACATGCTCATTTTCTATACTTTAAACAACGTGTCAGGGAACCTGGGTGGCTCAGTCAGTTAAGCGTCGACTCTTGGTTTGAGTTCAGGTCATGATCTCATGATTTCTGAGTGTGAGCACCACGTCAGGCTCTGTGCTGATAGTGTAGATCCTGCTTAGTATTCTCTCTCTCTCCCTCTCTCTGACTCTCCCTCACTCTTGTTTTCTCTCTCTCTCTCTCTCTCTCTCTAGTAAAATAAATAAATATACTTTAAAAAAATGTGTCTTTCTCCTCCACCTAGCAAAATCCCAACTCATCCTTCAAGGTTCAGATCAAATGCCATTTCTTCAATAAACTCCTCCTTGAAATCCCACACAAGGGGCACCTGGGTGGCTCAGTCAGTTGAGCATTCAACTTTGGCTCAGGTCATGATCTTGCGGTGCATGAGTTCCAGCCCTGCATTGGGCTCTGTGGTGACAGCTCAGAGCCTGGAGCCTGCTTCAGACTCTGTGTCTCCCTCTCTCTCTCTGCCCCTCCCCCACTTACATTCTGTCTGTCTGTCTCTCAAAATCAATAAACACCCCCCATTAAGAAAAATTGAAGTCCCACATGATATTAATTGTTCCTGCCTCTACATCAGTGTTACTTGGTTCAAGCTGCAAGATACAACACTTATCAGATTCTGGTTGGATATGTGTGTCTTCTACTGAGCTGTCATTGTCGTGGTGACGGGGATTGTGTCTGATCCACATTTACTTCTATTCCCACTCTCCAGGAAGTATGAATCATGGGCAAATATTAGGTACTCACTGTTCGTTAAATTGGATTGAACAGAATTATTGTGTAACAACAGATTAATTGTGGCTTCATAATTCGTGGTTGAAGGAACAGAGTTCTGACAAATGCATACTTCAAACTTCATGATATGACTAATTTTTTTTAATTTTTTTAATGTTTATTCATTTTTTGATAGAGAGAGAGACAGAGCATGAGTGGGGGAGGGGTAGTGAGAGAAAGGGAGACACAGAATCTGAAGGAGGCTCCAGGCTCTGAGCTGTCAGCACAGAGCCCGACGCAGGACTTGAACTCACGGACTGTGAGATCATGACCTGAGCTGAAGTCGGACGCTTAACCGACTGAGCCACCCAGGCACCCCATGATATGGCTAATCTAAAGTAAGTACAGACCAAGAAAGTACATTGCGTCTCTTTGTGTCTCAGTTCCCTCAGATGTGAGATGAGAGGATTGGATTGGCTTAGGAGTCACAGCTGCGTGGCAGGTGGAGCAGCACAACCTTCTGCCCCACCCCCGGCAGAACTGCTAGCCGTTTCCTGCCAGCCCCAAAGTGTCCTCAGCCAGCCATCTTCCCACAGAGTTCCAAGCAGACAGGACTATTTGATCAGAGATGACCTAGAAAAAGAAATCAGCTAGCTGCTCCTAGTTTCAAACATTCCTTGTTTTGATGAATGACAGGGTGCCACGAGTTAATCAGCATGTTCTTCAGAATAAATTGGTCTCAGTAATTTCACACTAGATCCTAAAGCTCCCTCCTAAAAAAACAAAAACAAAAAAAGCTCCCTCTTACTACTCAGTTTTTTTCATGCGCTGGGGTGTTTGCAGTAGTTCTTTTTAGCATAAGAAGAGAAATATGACACGGAAGGCTATGGCATGTGGTACTTGAGCAAATAATCTACTGACACTTGATATGGCTTCTGGCCAAAAATGTTGTTCATGTCTCCATAAACTTTGAGTTAAAACAGTATCTTGCAGCTCGCAGTGTTGCTTCACCTCCCTCGCTCTCCAGTACTACGCGACTTAGCACCTTAGTGCCTTCTCCCTGCTAAAAACCCATGACTTTTCTAATGTGACCCCCTGGCACAAGAAGTCGGTTTAAAATATACACGCACATGACACACAACACTTTGAGGATCTTCTAGTCTTTCCTCTGGAACTCCAGATGTCAGTGTAAGAAAAGTCTGTTTAAAAACAGCATACAAGGATTAAATTAGGAAGCAATTCTATTCTCCAAGAATTTCAGCCAGTCATTCACGTTGGGAGTCACTTGAGATTGGCCATCCTCAGTATTCAGTCGGGGAAGAAAAGAAGGATTTTTGGCCTGCTCTGTATATGCTTCAGGGCTTGCTATTTCTGGAAGGTGAAATTCCAAACAGGACAGTCAGACGCTAATTTTGGAGAGTAACCTACACTCTGGGATTATTTGTCAAAAGGCTTCTGAAATTCTTGTGAATATTCAGATGTACACCATTTTCCTTATTTTCATGTAGAGTCTATGAACTACTTATTAGTTAATGAGCTTCCATTATACTGTAAATATTTGGAGAAGGATACTCTTTGTTTATGTGTGTAAAACACACACTTCATCCCCCCAAATAAATGACTGGATCTTGGGCTGACTTGATAGCAAGGGGTTATAGTGAAAGCTCTTTGGTAGTGTAAAGAGTAGTCAAGCAAAAAGGTTCATTCTGCTTTTTTTCTATCAACAAATAATACATGCTAAAATGATCTTTAACATGTTGTATCTCACTACAACTGTGATGGGTGCTTAGAATCCAGCTTTATATTTTAAATAAATAGCTATTACCCACTTTAAAATCCAGTTGGCTGAGAGAGATCTATCCCATTAGGATAAATTTTGGACTTAAATAAATAAGAAAAATCTAAAATAAAACCCTTATGTTGGGAAGTAATCATAAATTATAAATAATTTTAAACTATGTTAAATGTAGGTTGTTTTCCAAAGAAAATAGAGTAGTAACTACTAAATTTAAATACATTGTGAATAACTCTAATCTTGTAAACAAATTGAATACATGATTCTATTATGGAATTTACAAATTCTCATAATTTGCAAAAATTGAATAAGACTTTTCCAAATCTCTCTAGACTCTTCCTCAGATACATGTCTCATACTATTTTATTCTGAGGTTTTGCATTATTATCATGCCTAATGACACATTTCTTTAAGGGTCTATTTGGCATTAACTTTAGGGGCAATGTGAAGAATTCCAAACAAGTATTTTAAATGTCTCACTGGTGGATCTAACACAGTATTCGCATTTAGATCCAAAAACATGGGTACTCAGTGAGGGAATGAATGAATGCTACTCACTAACGCCAACACATTGCTACAGTGAGTTTGCATGAATCTCCCCACACATTACAATCCAGATATTCATTGACAAAAATCAATCTAGACTTTGGACTGGAAATCCAACTGAATCTGGCTCTTTAAAAAAATTGAATTAATTCAAATTCCTTCCTTCTTTTAAAGAGAACTTTTCTCCCTTATTTCATATAATTCTAAAAATTAGAACAAGCAACACCTTTATATGGTCCAAGAAAGTGTAAAGGTTAACACAGGGAGTAGTCCCCTTTCTCAAATGTATCTATCCTCTACTCCCCTCATCTCTTTAGGTAACTGTTCTCCTTAGATTTTTATATATCCTTCCAGAATTTCTTTATGCAAGTAAAACAAATACAAACATAATTTTTTCTCCTCCTTTAAACCAATATATAGCCTATTATACAAGTTATTACATAAAGATAGCCTCTTAAATTAAGTAAAACAACTTTGGGATTTTTCACCATATATGTATGCTTCCTGTTGCATTGACAAAGCCCTCCTTCAGCTTCACTGTGGTGGTGCAGAAACATCCTTGCAACTAACTTTCCTACTGGACCCAACGCCTAAACAGGGTTCTTTCTGTTCTCAAAGTGACTTGGGAACAGGACAGTGCTCCTTGGCATCCCTGCACCTGGCCCTGATGAGTGATATGTGCTCCTGTCAGTTGGTGCTTTCTGGGTAACCTCTAGATTCCATTTAGACAGACTTGGTCAGTCCATGGGATTGGCCAAAGAGCAGCTGCTGCATGTTCAGATCATTTGTTACTGCTGCGTGTTCAGATCATTTGTTAGGCCTCAGGGACTTCCATGTCCTGAGGGTGCCTAGTGGAAACTTGGAACTTAACCCTCTTTGCAAAGAGCTCTAAGGCAGCCAGGCCCCAGGCACAAATGCCCTTGAAAACCATGGCTAAGGACCTAAGGGCTACAAGCAGAGGTAGCATGACTGCAGAAAGTATCGTCACACACTTGTTCCCATGAGTTACTGCCTTCTATTCAGAAAGGTCATCCCCAATTATTTCTTTCATGCTTGCACTCGGTGTCAGGCCCAGAAAGTGCAGCTGGGTAACAAAAAGACATAAATGCCAGCAGAGTAATCGTCAACAACCTGGGTTTGTACTTGGGTTGTGGGACCCTGCTCACGGAGGAAATGCTTATTGTAGACTGTGTACTCTATACCAGTGTTAGGAAGCAAATTAGACCTTCACTTAACGATTATTTTTTTTAAAGGCAGCATACCCAGGAAGGCACACTAATCCCACACAAAGTTTCCTCCAGAAGTGGGTTTACCGGGAGGCCAATGAAGCTTCAGGGTCCCTCACCAGCAGGGTCCCTTCACGGCGCAGGGCCTAATTTAGACTATTAACATTCTTTTTTGTAAAGAGTGCTGCCAAATTTATGAGCTTCAGGCCCCACAAAACTTGCATCTGACCTTGTTTATTACCATAGTCAATTTTCAGTTGTCTGCTAGCTAACTGTCTAAATTTAAGCTTTATCCAGGGGCAAATCTTGTTCTCTGAAGGATGGTTATGATTATGAGTGGTCCACTGGTTCTTTGTTTTAATGTTTACTTTTCACTTGGTTTGCAAGGCAACAGGACTTTCATGAAATGCTCTGATCCATCCCTAAGGAGAGAGTTTTATAAATAATGGAGTTGTCTTCTCTAAACACTAAATGACACGCAGGAACTTGTGAAGACTTGTTCCAGTAAATGAACTGATTTCCAATCATTCCTGAGACAAACCTTGTGTCTGTGTCTTCATTTTTGTTTAAAATGAGCCCCTGGGACATATGGTTCAATGTTAAGAAAAAAAATATCTCAAAGCCATAAGTGAAAGATTTGGGGAGTCATTCACACTACTCAGCTCCATTAGTGAGGATAACTGAAAATTGATAATAAATTTTCAATAAATTTATAATTTATTGTGTAATAAATATATCTACTTGATTAAGGATTCCAGTTATTCATTTATTAGTAGTATATTTTAATTCATGAGAGAAGAGGGAATGTCTTACCCTCTGTCTTACTTACTGTAAGAAATAATATTTCTTACAGCTAAAAATTCATTATTCTTCATGTATTTTCAATTGAAAAGTTTAGATTTTTTGAGGTGAGAAGTAATCTGTTTTAAGAGGAAATGTCCCTTTGAAAGGCCAAAGTATGCAATACCATGTCACAGAGAAATGTGGGGCCAAGATTGATTGATTCCTAACTTACTGCAGTATACTTTTATGCTTTAAAGCTTGTAAGTGAATTAAAAAAAAAAAAAAACAAAAAGAAACACTTGGTTTTCACTGAAATATGCTCCTTGTCAGTTATCTTCATTAGTCCTAGCCAAATTAGGTGTCTAAGCAACAGAGAAAATGGGTAAGAAAGGAAAAGGAGGCAGGCCTTCTACAGATGGCAATGTCATCCTGTGTAGCATTTATACTGCAACATAGGGTGAATTTACCATTACTTTTGAGGATAAGAAAACAGCATGCAAAATATACGTGTCAGAGACTCAAACAGAAAACATCTTTTTAAGCTGGCTCCATCATTTTCATACCGCTGTCTCTGTGGCAGGTATTCATGACATTAGACAGGTGAGTTTGGAGGTTAGGGATCATGAAGTCATTGACAATTACAATAGGCTATAGGATGGAAGGAGAACATGGGTGCTTATTCTTTATGGAAAGAAAATTTCTTAAGATCCCATATTGAGGGGGCACCTGGGTGGCTTAGTCAGGTAAGCATCTAACTTCAATTCAGGTCATGACTTTAATGATTCATGACTTTAAGCCCCGCATCGGGCTCTGCACTAAGTGCAGAACCTGCTTAGGATTCTCTCTCTCCCTCTCTCTCTTTCTGTCTCTCCTCCCCTCACGATCTCTCTCTCTCAAAATAAATAAGAATAAAACTTAAAAAAAAGACCCCATATTGAGAAATATCTTCCATCTAATTCCCTCTTTTGTTTGGCTTTAGAAAGCATGTTGAAACCTCAGCTCCTATGAGGAGTAGAGATGAAGACTTCTGGGTTTTAATTATTTTTTAAAAATATTATTGCTTCTGGTCACAAAATGATACCTATACCGTATGGGAGCAAATTTTTATTTAAATTTTATGGCCCACAGCAGTCATAACCATAGATTTTCTTTGTATATAAATGCTGACTACATTTTAACACTTTATATAAAGACCCACTTGTATAACAGGATTATGAAGTATCATAATATAATGTATGCAGGACTGTTCTTTCTTCTCATTCATAAACCATTCACCCTGGTGCCCCTTCTTCACCATTTAAAAAATCTATACAAACTCGTAGGTGCTTTCATTCACTCTTGCATATTCATAACGCTGAACGTTTTCACTAGAGGTAAAATTAACTTTGTGTAATAGATTCTATGAGTAATTTTCGTAAAGATAACATACCATGTGACACGAGGTTCTGGCCAGCCGGATACAGAGCAATGTAATTTTACATTTTCTTTTTCCCAAACAGTGTGGGAACGAGGTTTAATGACAAATTCAGGAGCATGGAGAAGATGATCTTCATTCAACTTTCTATGAAATGCTTCAGTTTCTTCTAACTATAAAAAAATATATATCAAAATATTATGGAGTCAGAGTAGCCTGTGCTAGTAAGAGAACAAACAAACCAAAATTATCATTTTTCCACTTGGAGCTTTACTTGCATATTTAGACCATATGCCTTCTCTTTGCCTCTTTAAAAAAGATACACTTAGTTTTTAACGTTCTAAGCCTCAGCAACATATCTTATTTCCCCCTATGGTGGATTTTTTAAGGTTCTTTGGAACTGTACTTTCTGTAGAACCTAAAATTTCATGGAGTTGGGCATCTAGGTGGCTCAATCGCTTAAACATCTATCTTTGGCTCAGGTCATGATCTCACAGCTAGTGAGTTTGAGTCCCGCTTTGGGTGAGCTCTAGCCCCGCTTCGTGTGAGCCTTGCTTCTCTCTCTCTCTCTCTGCCCTCACTCACTTGCACCTCTTCTCTAAAATAAAATAAAATAAAATAAAATAAAATAAAATAAAATAAAATAAAATTTCATGGAGTTTAAAACTACTAAGTCTGTCTTTCTTTGACACACACATTTTTTTTATTTAAAAAACTTTTTTTAATGTTTATTTTTTTTTTGAGAGAGAGAGAGACAGAGAGACAGAGTATGAGCGGGGGAGGGGCAGAGAGAGAGGGAGACACAGAATCAAAGCAGGCTCCAGGCTCTGAGCTGTCAACACAGAGTCCAACGTGGGCTCAAGCTCACAGACTGTGAGATCATGACCTGAGCCAAAGTCAGACACTTAACTGACTGAGCCACCCAGGCACCCCTTTGACCCATACGTTTTAATGTCTTTATCTTTGTATTCTTTCTTTTTTTTTTTTTTTTAACGATTATTTCTTTTTGAGAGAGAGAGAGACAGAGTGCAAGCTGGGGAGGGGCAGAGAGAGAGGGAGACACAGAATCCTTGTATTCTTTTAGTTTTGTTTCTCCATAAGACTACATATTTATTTCTTCATTTGAAACAAATCAATCTATAAGTACACACACAATGGTACATGCATTTCTGCTTTTGTAAATTATATTAAATTTCTTTCCTTACTGTTTTTGTCAGCGACAGGCGTTCTGCCTTCTCTCGAATTGCAACTTTCCTTGACTTCTTCTCAAAAGCTTCCTCCTGGTGAAGACTAGACGTAGACTCTTGGGATGCTGTGGACCGTTTGGATACTGCAGAATGTTTGGATACCACGGACTCTTTGGATGCTGTAGAATGTTTGGATACTGCGGACTGTTTGGATACTGCAGACTGTTTGGATGCTGTGGATTGTCTGGATGCTGTGGACTGTTTGGATGCTATGATTCCTTCTTCACTAGCAAGAAGATTCCTTTGGGCTATATAGGCAGCAGCTTCTTTAATTCTTTCTTCTTCTGTATCTGTAATTCCACTGACATGTACTTGACTAAAATACAATAAGAGCAAAATACAGATATTATGGGTGGCAGCGACAGGATTGTCCAACTTTTACTAAGTTCAAAGTACATTGTGTAACATGCCCAAAGAAAACCTGACAAAGAAAAACTTGGTAAATCAGGAGCTAACTCTTCACATACAGAAGGGATCACCACCTTAACCAGTAATGGTAACAACAATAATAATACCTATTATGGCCATAGTGTTGCCAAGTGCTTTTTATATATATTATCTCATTTTATGTCCACAACAACCCTATGAGGTAAAGTGTATCATTTCTATTTTAGATATATAGTAACAAGGCTCAGAGAAATTAGATAACTTGCCTCAGATCATTTCATTGGTTTTTTAGAGTGTTTAAATATGACTGCGTCTATAATAAAAGACTTTCCTCCTAGAATAGATGATATTGTAAAATGAGATATCGCCTGCGTGCCTGTGATCCTGATATAAGACTATGTGCTTGATCTGAATTCTATAACTGAGTTGATGTGATGCATTGCTCAGAGCTGTTGCATATATAAATAAATTCTAAAGTTATGGGGAGGCCTCATGCCTACTGGGTTTCTTTCTAAGATAATAAAAGTTATTTGGGGGTGCCTGGGTGGCTCAGTCAGTTAAGCATCCGACTTCAGTTCAGGTCATGATCTCACAGTTCGTGGGTTCGAACCCTGTGTTGGGCTCTGTGCTGACAGCTCAGAGCCTGGAGCCTGCTTCCGATCCTGTGTTTCCCTCTCTCTCAGCCCTTTCCCCACTTTTGCTGTCTCTCCCTCAAAAATAAATAAACATTAAGAAAAAATTTTAAAAAGTTATGTGTGTGTGTGTGCGCGTGTAAACATATTTAATGAGAGCTTTTACTTATGTAGCCCTGATAAGAAAAATTGACCAAATTTGCATTTAAAGTGGTGATATTTATAAAAGTGACTTGTTTTTATTCATAATTGACGATGATGGCAAGTGAATGGTAACATCCCAAAATGCTTTATAATAGAAGTTGTGCTATAATTTATTAATGTTGTTAAACATATTTAGATGATTTTTAACCTCCTTGAATGCCTTTGTTGTCAACCCCAACGGTGAGGAAGTATCATGATCATATTGAAGATTTTCTTGAAATTGAGTCTCCTTAGGCCTCTGAAGGCTGAATTTTACCTTTGATTTTTCTTACAAGAATAGTTACTTAAAATTTAAGCAAATACTGGCGTTATGTTTTTAAGTTCCTGGTACCTGAATCTGTGTAGTTTGCTGAAAAATAGGGCTCAACATTTGCCCAAGTTTGAAATTTCTCATGGAATTTTACTAAAACATCTGATAAGATTAGTCCACTTTGTTTCTTACTAAACTTAGTGGGTAAATTTTAATTTCTTTTTCCTTATCTCTATCTTTCCGAATATTAACAAGGTAGTATTTACTAACTCAGTAACATATACACTATAATTTAGGTAGAGAAAAAGGAAGATGGAAGATTTTCAGTTCAGAGTCTTGACATAATTACCTCTAATTTTTTTTTAATGAGATAGGAAGTGAATGAATTAATAAGTGATTATAAAAATCATCATGAGAATCTGCTTGGAATTCCATACAGAACTAAATATATAATAGAGAGGTTTGAAATGAACTTTGTAAAATGATTCAATATATATAATAATAGATTATATTCAATGCTAGCCTTTCCCTGAGTTGAGACAACTCTTAAGTAAGAGAACTTTAAGTTTGAGCTCACATTATCTCTGACAGTAGACATGTTGACATAGCTCTAGAGAGCAGAATGAAGTCCTGGTCTCTTGCCTTCTCTACTGCAAATAAGCTAAACCTCAGGAAGACTATAATTATTTCATAAGAGACCTCAAATACATTTAGGAATATTTTTTTCACCCAGGACACCAGGGGTATTTTTCTTTAAGTAAATATAAGTGTATGTCAGTGATAACCCTGCTATAATCTGGGTACAAGAACAAGAATATGATGCTGATATGCTGGCAAAAATAAACTACTACAAATTTAAGATGAATTTAAAACCTCCCCAGTACTCGATCGCTGATGGTCTCAACTCAAAAATCTGCCGGTGACACAAAGTTAACTCAATTTATCTGAGAACAAGAATTGAAATTAAAAAACAATTTTTTTCAATGTTTATTTATTTTTAAGAGAGAGACACAGAGAGACAGAGCACGGGGGCAGGGGGTGGTAGGGAGAGGCACAGAAAGAGAGGGAGACACAGAATCTGAAGCAGGCTCCAGGCTCTGAGGTGACAGCACAGAGCCCTATGCAGGGCTTGGACTCAAGAACCTTGAGATCATGACCTGAGCCAAAGTCAGACACTTAAGCGACTGAGTCACCCAGGTGCCCCAAGAAGTGAAATTTTAAAGTGCCATCCAGAAGAATTGGTATTTCCCAGAAATACATTAGAATTGCAGACTGCATGTATGTATGTTGCATCGGCCAATCCCTAGAGGACTCTTGGCTCTTCCACCGCCAGCCACGTCACTTTCAGCAAGCCATTGAGCCTTAATTTCCTTGTCCATAAATTGGTATACTAATACCTCTCTAGGGCTGCATTGAGGATTTAGCAAGATAGTCTACATAAAGCATGTAGTATGATTCCCAGAAAATAACAGGTACTTAACAAAGGTTCATTTCTGTCCCATCCTCTGAGATTAATACTGTCAACACCAGTAGGAAGTGTTATTTTCAACACAGTAGTAGAATACAGGACATGGCTCCATATTAAAAAAACAAAAACACTGGAAATAAAACCCAGAAGATAAATTTTTATTTGCATTTTCTTTTATCACTGTTTGTTTTGTAAATTATCATTTCTTGAGACTGGCCCTGAGGAGACAAATTGGTTTGATTTAGGAGAAAGAAGGCACTGAAAGTAAGCAGCTTCATTTCATGTGGTAAAGAGATGGAGAGGTATGCCATGCAGGTTCATGATTAGTTAATATGCTTTTTAAATATATTTTTTTAAAACAGAGTGGGAACAAAGCAGAAAATAAAACATTCTACTCCTCTAGCCTAGCCATCTCCTATAAAGAATATCAGTGTATATTAAACGAACTGTGAAGAGGCCAAGCCTGGGCAAACATACTTAGCAACATATGTATATTTCAATGGAAAGTTCACTTTTTTTTAAAGTTTATTTATTTATTGGGGGGTGGGTGAGGGGCAGACAGAGAGGGAGAGAGAGAATCTCAACCAGGTTTCATGCTGTCAGCATAGAGCTGAATGCAGGCCTTAATCTCAGGAACCATGAAATCGTGACCAGAACTGAAATCAAGAGTTGGATGCTTGACCAACTGAGCCACCCAGGCACCCGGGAAAGTCTACTTTTAAAAAAATCAGAGATATCAGGGGTGACTAGGTGGCTCAGTCAGTTGAGCATCTGAGGCACAGGTCATGATCATACAGTTCTTGGGTTCGAGCCCCACATTGGGCTATGTGCTAACAGCTCAGAGCCTGGAGCCTGCTTCAGATTCTGTGTCTCCCTCTCTCTGCCCCTCCCCTGCTCATGCTCTATCTCTCTCTCAAAAATAAACACTAAAATATAAGAGATCTCAAAGATATCAAAGAAAAAGCTAAAAATAGTATATTACTTATCCCATTACCTTCCTAATCAGAATCAGAACAATTATGACATTAGTATCTGAAACAATTCCAAAAGGAACCGTCAGAGAAAAATAGGAAAAACACAGGGAAATGGAAGAAGGTCACCAACAATGACAACCATGTCATTCCTACTGAATTTCCTGATGGCATTTTGCCCTTCATTTTGAATATAGCCTTAGCTCTGTGGATATAGCTCTCCATTCACAGGAAAATAAACAGGGAAGGCTCTGAAGGTTCCCATTAAATTTTAATTTGGTGTCTTAAACAAGTTTCAAGATTCTTCTCTATATTAAAATCATTCCAAAAAAGTTTATATTTTTTAAAACACACACACACACACACACACACACACACACACACACACCCCTTAAGAACATTAACAGCATTAACGGACTTGTGATTTAGTGATTATTTTGTGAGTTTGCCTCACAATACATAGTAATCTGTTTTACATTAAACAAATATAGCACAGGCATTCAAATTATGATGCCTTTCTTTTACTTAGTCTACCTTATCTAAGGTTTTTTTCTTTCTAATGAATAATAATTAAAATCACACTGTCGGGGCACTTGGGTGGCTCAGTCGGTTGAGCGTCCTACTTCCACTCAGGTCCTGATCTGGTGGTTCATGGGTTCATCGGGCTCTGTGCTGACAGCTCAGAGCCTGGAGCCTGCTTCGGATTCTGTGTCTTCCTCTCTCTCTGTCCCTCCCCAACTCTCGCTCTGTCTCTCTCTCTCAAACATAAATTAACATTAAAATTTTTTTTCAAAATCACACTGGCAACCACAATAGTTTCCCTCTACCTAAACATAACATCTGATTTTTTTAAAGTTCATCAAACACTTTACGGTTTCAAACCTTTCTTTCTATTCTACCTATAGTGACTATATACAGTGTTCAATCACTAGCATCCAATGCTCTCCTTCTGATTTCAACCAGTTACATAATGAGAACTAAGTTCCTGATCATTCTCTTCTGCCATGTAGCCATCCTAGGTGGGGGCAGATTTTCACAATGAACACATCTCCCTCAGTGCAGGGTGCCAAAGTTCCTCAGAGCTTTCTCAAGGAAAGTTTCTCAAGCTTTCTCAACATTGTTCAACAAATGCTAGTTGCAATTATTATTACTACCTGGCAACACCTACTCTTCACTTTCTAATATTTAAAGCCAGGAAGAGAATACATACGTACCGTCCGGAGAAAATGGGCACCATATAGTCACTTGGCAGATTTTCCTTCTCCTCCCCAGACAGAAGGCTTTTCTTGGCTCTCTTTGGTTGGGGGCTCAACTTGGATGAATAATCTTCTAACATCAGACTGGAATCTGTAAGTCTGAAACAAGACCCCTAATATTAGATAATAACCAAAAATTGCACTGAAAATATTCAAAATGCTTACAAAGGGAAGTTTTAACTTGGGGGGAGGTTTCACAGAATCCTAGATTTCTAATATTATAATATCTTTTATCTTTAGAACTCAAGTGGAGTGAGAAAGTCCTCAAATAATGCACTCTATATAGACACAAGAGAAAAATAGGTCTATGGTAATTTCATAGCTTTTTCCCCTTTAAAGTTTCAAGGGAAAACAGCAGTGCTTTTGTAATAGTTCCAAATACCCTTTGCTGTTAACATTCAAATTTTAGACAATCTATAAAAATGGTTTTATCCAAGTCTTTTCAGGGCACTGATAAAATGCAAAGTGTTCTGGATAGGGAACCATTCTCCCTTCCCCACCAAAACATTTTGATGGAGGACCCCTAGGTTCAACTTTGAGGCTTTTATGTAGTATAGACAGACTCCTCTGTTAGAAGAAACACAAGTTCATCAAACAACAGTTAATATCTTTTATGTGAACACACAGTGTTGAGCAACTCAGACAATGATAGGGGCGTGATAAAGAAATTTGGTCAGTTCTGTTGTATACAAAAATGTGCTCATGCACGCTGGTGCTTTTTGAGGGAGATATTATTCTAATAAAAAAATGTATTAGCATGGTGGAAAACATGAGAGAAGAGGTTGCACCTAGAGAAAAGGATTGATAAAACTAAAAGTACAGTCTTTAGGAGCACCTGGGTGGCTCAGTCAGCTGTACTGACAGCTTAGAGCCTGGAGCCTGCTTCAGATTCTGTGTCTCCCCCCCCCCGCCCCTCCCCCACTCACTCTCCGTCTCTCAAAAATAAAAACATTAAAAAATTTTTAATAAAAATAAATAAATAAATAAATGCACAATCTTTATGCAGCTCTTGAATGAACTGAAATGCATTTTCATTCAAATATATAAAGTGGTCATAAATTTCAGGAATTCAGGAATCTCTCAAATTAATCCATGGATTCATGTTAAAAGCCCCTGGTCTACATTGTAATGAAAGATATCCACAATAGGGACCTCTACCAGAACTGTGTGTACTAGCCTTGTAATTTGAAATAATTCTAAAACAAAATGTTAATACTAAAAAGTCCCCTTGTCCACAGAAAATTTGGGGGAAAAGTGAAGCCATGTGTGTGATGTGTCATGGGAAAAGCAAGCTGCCCAGTTGAAACAGAAAAACCTTCCAAACCATCCAAACCTGACCTTTTCTCAATCTTTAAGAAGCATCAGGAAAAGCAGAGATGACCTAAATCAAAGCAGAAGACAGGCCAAATGCACACATAGTGCGAAATGAACACATAATAATGCAAGCAAATCTATCCTCTGCTAAACAAGCACCGAATCACAGGGCTTCTAGAGTACAGAGGTGGGTGCAGTGGCTCTGGGCCTGGGGGTACAGGGTAGGCTACTGTCTTTGATCCCCAGACTGGAGTGGCAAACTTCTTCCTCTCCCACTAACTAGCTCCTCCCCTAGGGTGAATAGCTATGTCCTACTCTATGATCAGCATTAAAATTAAAGGTTAGAACTTTGAATTCAAGCTTGTGGATTGGTTACCAATTGGAAGGCTGAGTGAAATTTGTTCCTGGCTGCCTGTTCCAGGCAGCAGCAAAATGACTGCATTCTATACCCCCAGTAGATTACAAAGTACAGGCTGTGCTAATGCAGGTCTAAGTTTAAAGTGCTATTTTCCTTCTCCTCTTTAATTAATTACCATGCAAAATAAAATTAATTTTAGAATTTAAGAGTTACCTTTTCTCCTACTTATACAACATTTGCATTTTTCATTTTACTCTTGCTTTTCTTTTAAAAAAATTTTTTTTTAATATTTACTTATTTTTGAGAGCGAGACAGAGCATGAGCAGGGAGGGCAGAGAGAGAGGGAGACACAGAATCTGAAGCAGGCTCCAGGCTCCGAGCTGTCAGCACAGAGCCCGATGTGGGGCTTCAATTCTCAAACCGTGAGATCATGACCTGAGCCAAAGTCAGATGCTCAATGGAATGAGCCACCCAGGTGCCCCAACTCTTGCTTTTCTATTTTTGCTCTTTTTTACTTTCATTCTGTCTATAGTCATTCTTATGAGATCATATTTTCAACATTTATCTACATCAAAATGGTTATGATTTGTCATTCTTTTTGTTGTATTGTTGCTCCTTTTTTCTGTCATTTTCTCTTTAAGATGATTTTTTTTTTAAAGTAGGCTTCATGCCCAGCACGGAGCCCAACATGGGGCTTGAACTCACGACCTTGAGATCAAGACCTGAGTTGAGATCAAGAGTCGGATGCTTAACCGACTGAGCGACCCAGGTGCCCCTAAGATGAATCTTTTAAATGATGCACTTATCACATAGAATGTACCTGAATGTCATTATTCCATCTTTACAGGTAAATCACAGCAGCTGGTTTTTAATATTGAACTTTATGGTATAGATTCATGGCACTATCATTGATCTCCTGTCATATGTTATTTGGAACAAAAAACTTCACAGACAGCATTATGATGTTTTGTATTATATAGTATTATTTAGAAAATCCAGGCGTGCCTGGGTGGCTCAGTTGGTTAAGTGTGTAACTCTTAATTTTGGCTCAGGTCATGATCTCATGGTTGTGAGATGGAGTCCCACGTGGGGTTCAGCACAGAGCCTGCTTGGGATTATCTCTCTCTACCCTTGCCCCACTCATGCTTGCTCTCTCTCTCTCTCTCAAAACTCAAAAAAAAAAGAAAGAAAGAAAGAAAGAAAGAAAGAAAGAAAGAAAGAAAGAAAGGAAGAAAGAAAAAGAAAATCCAAAGTACTTAGGAAAAAATCTTTGTTATGTTCTTTAAAGTTTCTTCAAGCTTTTAAATACTAATAATAAATAAAAAGCATGTGAGGGATTAGATGTTAAAATATTATGCCAACAGACTATTTAGCAATAACTCATTTACTGAAGATAGCAAACAAAACTAAATCAGAGAAACATCAAATTTTAAGGAACTGACTATGTCATAATCAGTCCAAATAGTTATTTGCAGAAAACCATCAATAGTCTATTTTGTTATGATCCGTGAACACTGAAGCCCAACATCTTACTCTATTGAATTCTGAAGCTGAATGTTTTTACAGGAGAATATTATAAGTAGAACATGTAAAATTTAAATTTCTTTGAATTTAAATCAAAAGATGAAATAAGGTTTTGCTAACCTCTTGGGTTTTTAGTTGTATCTAAATATTGAAAATAATCCTCTATCTTACAAGTCCATTTCTGAGTAGACACTAAACTTGATATGCATGGATCTATTTGGGTGTTTTCTAACTATTAAAACTACAATTAATGTTCTTTATGTACTCAGCTTAAATCGTGAAGCTTTCTGAATTTCCATTTATGAAGGCAATGAAATTAAGCAATGGTTAAGGATTGATTTGTGTGTGCATACATGCACACACACATCTATAACTGTGTCTATATTTTGGCACTCTGCTACCAATTGGGGTATGTCCTGTTAATATGCCTAAAGTTAACAGAATTTAAAGAAATATCATGGTGTGTGTGGCATCATCACATCTACAACCAGCAGCATCACAGAGAAGGGATGTCGCCAAGCTCTCTCCAGAAATATTTCAGGAACTCGGAAAGAGGCTTAGACCTTCATCCAATTCAAATACTGAACAACAACCAAAGACAACATTCTGCTATTACAACTTCATAATTATACTTTACAGGAAAATAAAGAACAAAACCACTTATAGGAAGATATCTCAAGGATATTTATAACAGGCTCCTCATTTTATAGTTTGGAATACACAGAGTGTCTTTATAACTTGCCCATGTTCACACAGCAAGTCGGTAGTGCAAGAAGGACTAGCACCCATCTAGGTCAGTATTCTTACCACTATACCAGTGGTCTCTAACTTTTGTGACTGAGCACTCCCAATCCAAAAATATTGGGGGCATGCCACTTATGTACGTTTGTTTATTTGTAAGTTCTATGCATATACTACTATATAAATAGTCTCACTCACTCTATGAAACATTCAATCAATAGAAACATTTTAAAGACCAAATCTGATGTTTTTGAAAAACTAGTAGTGCTAACTAATATTTCTTCCTATGCTTCCATGGTTTGCCTTTGTGGATATCCCACTTTGGAAACCATAATACCATACCACACTGCCTATACTGACTCCCATTGTGATTTGCTATTCCTTAATCTATTCATAGATTATGAAATCATCACAGTTCAGTTGAAAATATAGCCTTAAAAAACTCGTTAGATTTTACATGAAGTAAAATCAGTTCCTTAAAGTTATGTTTGTAATCATCATGTAATTTGGGGAAACTGTCCTAGTTCTCCAGAATGAGAAACTTTATTTATACTTACATTAAGTAGGGATCTGCTTACTGGCTATAGTACTTTCTGAAAATGTGATAACCTATTGGCATGTTGCAGAAAAATGATGGGCTGTAGGCATTGTCTTTTGTTGACACTGCTCCCAAACCTAGCCTCACCCAACCCTATTTGCTCAGGTTATACTGCATTATTACTTGATCTTTCCCACTGCCTATGACCACCCACGGAGAGGGATAGTCTATAATCTTTGTATCCATACTCTATCCACTTTGTATCCACACTGTGCCTGATGATGTTCAATAAATGTTTATTAAATGAAGTGAAATCATTCATTCCTGTATTTACCCTAGCTCAGTGATTTTCAACCTTGGCTTCACACCAGAATCTGCTAAGGAGTTGTTAAAAATGACCGATGCAGAGATGGGACTTCTAGTATGGTGGAGTGAGTACTTCAGCAGTTACTCTCCCCCAAAAGCAATGATAAAAATGGATACAAGTGTCAAAACCAACCCATTCAGGGCTCTGAAAATCAACCAAAGGCATACACAACACTGAGAACTAGTTATTCATAAAAAAGCCACTGAACTTTAGGTATGAACAATGGAAGTATGGCATTCTGCCTAGCCCTCTCTGCT